CCAGTTACTCTCTAACAGTTTGGGGCAGGAGGCTAATGGGTTGTGTTAGTCAGCTTTCTGTGGCTGTGACAAAATACCTGAGGTAAACAACTTAAAAGGAGGAAAAGTTTATCTGGCTTAGTCTCTGCAGTTTCAATCCATAGTCACGTGGCCCTGTTGCTGTGGGCTTGGGCTGAGGCAGAACATCATGGTGGGGAACACATGGTGGAACAAGGCTGCTTATCCCATGGTGGCTGGGGGGCGGGGGGGGGGGAAGAGAGAGAGAGAAGAGAAGAGGAGAGGAGAGAGGAGAGGAGGGCAGGGGACCAAGGACAAGTGTTTTAATCAGCTTTTTCACTGCTGTGACTAAAGATCTGATCGGCACAATTATAGAGGAAGAAAAGTTTATTCAAGGGCTCAGGGTTTCAGAGGTCTCAGTCCATAGACAGCAGGCTCCATTCCTCAGGGCTTGAGGTGAGGCTGAACCTCACGGTGGGAGAGGGTGACAGAAGGAAGCAGCTCACATCATGGTGATCAGGAAGCCGAGGCAGAAACTCTACTCTTCAGATACAAATATATACCCCAAAGCTATGCCCCAATTCCCACCTCCTCCACCCACACCCCACCACTTCGGTTACCGCCCAGTCAGTCCCTATCAGGGGCTTAACTCACTGATTGGGTTAAGATTCTCACAACCCAATCACTTCTCCTCTGAACCTTCTTGCACCATCTCACATGTGAGCTTTGGGAGGACACCTCACAGCCAAACCATAACAACAGGATATCCCCTTCAAAGGCCTGTCCCCAGTGACCCACTTCCTCGAATCTACTAAAGTTGTACCACTTTCCAATAGTGCCACTGGCTAGCAACCAAGCATGTGGCCTTTAGGGGACACTTCAGATGGTAACAGGAGTCTGTCTCGATGTAGAGCTCTGGTATTCTTTCAGGAGGAGGAGATGACCTCCCTTTCTGAAGCAGGCTTAGAGAGCAGGAGAGAATGTAAACACACACTCACGTGAGCCCGTGGCTGACCCAGGGCTTCTCTGTGAGTGAAGTGGAAGTTCCTGGTCCCCAAGCTCACACACTGACCAGCCTCCCCTTTCCATCCGGAAGGGCCCCAATTCTTTGTCCTTGGTTTGATTGCAAGGTTGGTACTAGATGTGGCTGCTGCTATTATTTCTGCCTCTTGCCACAACTCCCAACAACTGGGAAGTGGGGGCCTTTGTGAATGTAAGGACCACTTCAAGATTTAAGCTTTCTCTCAGAGTGCTTGTGCATGAAATCATCCTTGAGAAATACTTGTTTTACAGGAACTTGCAGGAACTACTAGGGTTTTTTTTAATCCAGGCTTCCTTCTAGTTTTCTTGAACTAGTAGCTACTGTGAGCCTTGATTATTCTTTTCAATAGCTGTACTTCAACAACAAAGAGCAGCCCTGAGGAGCAGAGGCACAATTGTTACCAACAACAAATAAGAAGGGGAAAAAACACACCCAAAAACCAGAATAATTGAATATTAGAGCAGGAACAATCAGCTTCATGCTTTGTGCCACAGAACTCAGTCCACGGATGCTGGTGATCTCCACTAGGGAGAGGAAGGCTTGGTGACTGGTCGTGGGCCTCAGACTGAACATGGAAGAAAAGCTTTTATCCTCAGGTTGGTATTTGAAGCCCTAGGCTCCAGGGCTGGCACCTAGTAGAAGCACAGCGCAGATCGATCAACTGGATAAATAAATGAACTAAGGGCCATGAGAGCCCAAGGGAGGAAATAAGTGACTGTGCTTGCCAGGTATTTTCACAAAAGAAGCCTGAACTGGACCTTAAAGGCAGGATTATTCCTGCAGACATCAGGAAGGGAAGCTGCAAATCAGAGCACACCGTGTGCAAATGTCCGAAGAACAACGTGGCCTCCCAGGGAAGCACAGGGGCCACTGGGCTTGGAGCACAGGCTGTTAGGAAGACTGGGCTGCAGGAGGAGCAGGCCAGGTAGTCCTCAGGGGAGGCCCAGGGTTCGTGGACAGACTCGAGAGCTGCAAGATCAGAAGGGACAGCAAGAGTAGCCCGAGCCTTACAGCTCCTCAGGCAGCCACAGGTGCCCCCCAGGTCGCCCGGGGCCCCACACAGCCCCCACACAGGAGGGTGTGCTCAGAGTGAGTCCTTCCTAGAGGTCAGTGGACCTTAATGGTCTAAGGGGACACAGGTCTTCTGATCCTTCCATTTCTTGCACACTCAGAGCTCTCAAACACCTAGCCAAGGGTCCGAGGTGTTGGTTTACTTCAAGCTCCAGTTTAGTGTGTCTGTGGAATTCTAGTTTTCAGCTCACTTGTGTGTCAAAGGTTTAATTTTTCTTTCCCTTAAGCATAAGGAATGCTAATAAAGACTAGTTTGTTGTTTTTGTTTCTGTGTTCCCAAGTCTTTGACATTCACAACTGAGTTTTGTAAGTGGTTCTAGGTGGTAAGTTGCCATTTCTGCACAATTCAGCTTTAAATTTGTCTGCTTAAATGAACATAAATGTTTCATCGAGTATCTTTCTAAACTTATATCTGACCCTCTAGTTTTTCTACCCATGTTTATAAGAGCTAAGTAAATTTGGTCGACTGTACCCTGACATAGGCGACAGAAGCACCCAATGATTGATTTAGGTCTCAGGGGCACCCAGCTGGCATCTGCAGAGATCTGCCTTAATGTTGATGTGTTCAAAGACGGTTCTTTTCACCTGATACTTAGGGACACACACAACCACGCCACCTCTTTGTTTTCTCTTAGTACAGAACAGATTGGAGAGCCCTCCCGTTCCCAGTGTGTGTGCTTCTGGAGTTGGGGGCTGCTGCCGATGCTGCTGAATTTAGCATCATTGATAGCGTAGTCCGTAGGGTGCCAGGCAGGTGAGGCCCATGCCAGGAAGGGATGTCCTCTCTGGCAAGGCGCTAAGCAGGAGGGCTGGTCCCAAGGAAGAGGCAGAGCCAAGGGCTGTGCCTTACCATTTCCATCCCTAGCTCTCCCGCCGCGTTCCCAAACTTCCTTCCTCTCTGTTTGCAACCTGCTAATGGAACTTTAATTTTCCATGAATAGTAAGTGGCTGAAGGCAGCAAAATGTTCTCCTTACCACTGGGATTGATATTTTTACTAACACCAAAAGGCCTTAGGCTAAAGGTTGAGGGCAGATTATCACAGACTCTTAAAGGAGACTAGGGTGTGGGGTCAGGAGAATAGCTGTTGGAGCCCCTGAATCAGGATGGGTAGCCCCTGAATCAGGACAGGTGAGCTGTAGCTTCTGCCAGTGAGTGCAGTCTTCCAGACACCACCAATGTGAAGAGACCTGGGGCCCCATGTACATTTTCTTATGCAACCCTTCATTAGAGGTAAACTGTATTCTCTGAGTTCAGCTCGTTATCATACTTGAGCCCCTCCTTAAAAGGCACATATGGACAATATATGAACTGGGGAGTATCTTCAAGATCCTGAATCAGGGTTCTCAAACTTTAAGGTGCCCAAATCACTGCAAAATCTCAGATAAATGCAAATTACATTTAGTAGCTGGGAGGAGCTGAGAATCTGTTTCTCTGAGGAGCTGTTGGGTGACATGGATGCTGTATGGACCATCCTTGGAGCCACAAGGCCCCAGAGAGCAGTGTTCTCAACTTTGCATCTCTCGATAGATTGGCATCAAGATTTTAAAAAGCTCCCCAGGTATGCCAAACTGTACCCCACACCAGTGAAGTCAGAATCCTGAGGACAAGGCCAAGATATCCCAACATAGTTGCTGCCCTGGTTGAGTCTGTAAGAAAGACGTGAGTGGATGGTGGGACTGATTCCTACCACTTTGGAAATCAGCCACAGTGTGTTGTGACGGTCTTGACGGTCTTTAAGGGTTGTGAATTAAAAATGAGCAGCTGCCTTTCGTGTTGCCAGCTTCGGAGCCTGAGCTGAGGGCCTCGAGACGTTCTTGCCATGCCCCCTGCACTGTGGCCTCTGCTCTTGGCTGCTGCAGCCTCTTTTCGGCAATCCTAATGGGGCTCTCAGAGTCCAGGGAGAATGAAACCGGACGTTGTCTTCCTGGGGCGAGGGTTTCTCGGCCCTGCTGCACATTCACATAGCTGGTCCGCATTCCGCGTGCTGGACAGTCTGAAAGCTCCCGGTGCGATGCTGTTGCGAAACCCGGACCGGGAGCTACAAGGAGACTTTAAAGAATAGACATATTTGTTTTTCTTCAACGATTTTGGAACTGGTTCTAAATAACAAAAGATGCTGGTAGGATGATAAACTGTAAAGATGATTTTTAAATATGCAATTAATGATTTTTAAAATGTTTCAAAATGTATATGTCGACTTCCTGTCCCTCACCTGGTATTTTTGGGGAGGCCAATAGGCACTTGAGCTGGGTGTGGAGTTCACCAACAGAACATGAAAATCAACTAGGGCGCTGCGTTAGTTAAGGTAAGGCTAGCTGCTAAAACAGATAAAACCCAGGCCTTCCGGGGCAGAAGTTGGGCACTGTGACAAGGTCACTGCAGCAGTTGGGCAACTGTGACAAGGTCTGCGGGTAGCCCTCCTCTGCAGTCTGCCCAATGGGAGGGTGGGGGCGGGGCCCCAGAGGGCGGTCCCCCAGATGGGCGGGGCCACGTGTGCTCTCACGCCATTGGCCAGAGCTCCATCACTTGGCTCCTGGCCCTTCCTGAATGAATGCAATGAGGTCCAGGAACTGCAGAGCCTTGGCCAGCAGCCAGCATTGAGGACTAGCGGTCCTCGAAGTGATGATTGATTTTTTTTTTTTTTTTTTTTTTTTTTTTGTACCAGGGATTGAACCCAGGGTTGCTTAACCACTGAGCTTCATCCCCAGCCCTTCTTTATATTTTATTTTGAGACAGGGTCTCGCCACGTTGATTAGGGCCTCGCTAACTTGCTGAGGCTGGCCTTGAACTTGCAATCCTCCTGCCTCATCCTCTTGAGCCGCTAGGATTTCAGCTGCACCCCGTTTGAAGTGATGATCTTAGGGAAGTGTTCTCTTCTTTTCTCCGCAGATATTGCAAACGGCACCAGTTCAGGGGGGTACCGCCCGCCTCCCAGAACCAAAGAAGTCATCATCAATGGCCAGACTGTGAAACTTAAGTATTGTTTCACCTGCAAGATTTTCCGGCCCCCTCGCGCCTCCCACTGCAGCCTGTGCGATAACTGCGTAGGTGAGTAGGAGCCCAGGTCACGGGGGCCACGTGGGGGATGTGCTCCGAATAGGCGGATAGGCATTGTGCCAGGGCTGGTGTGTGCCCATCTTTAATCCTTCTCCACTGAAACACTCAATAATAGTTAATGTTCAGTGTATTTGCTTGTTACCATGAATTGCATCCACCAGGCCTAGAGTTACCAGTCTTTTTTATTTTTGTTTTTTCCCCCGCATTCTGCAATGCCCTCGGCCTTCAGTTCCCCAGCACAGCACAGAGATAAAACCATTTCATCCCTAGGCGGCTGCATGGCCTGGGCCCCACACCTAAGGGATATGCTTTGTTCAGTTTTGTTCGGAGCTGGAAGTACTGGATCCAGCAGGGAGGAAGGGAGGCAGAGGAGGGAGATTTCCTCAAGGGGGGGGGGGGGGGGTGTTAGGGTCTTTGTTCTTCAGCAACCATGGGACCTCCACTCTGTCTTCTGGCTTTCTCCAGGAGAGATGAGGGAAACAGGCAGAGGGAAGGCGAGAGCCCAGAGGTCCCTGGTTGTAAGACTTGGCCTGACTGTTGACCTAGCACAGGATTCTGCCACTGTGGTGGGTGCCAGACCCCTGGAGGTGGTCAGCAAGTGTTCCCCAGAGCTGCTGCCCAGGCTGGCAGTCTGCTCCCCCCACTAGGCTGGATCTCCTTAGAGATGAGGTGGCAAGGACATGGTCAAGCAGCAAGAAAGACAAAGCCTTGCCACAGTGAAGACCCGTGTTTCCTCAGTCCCAGGGCCAGCCTCTAGTAATAGCAACCAAGGACACTTCTGGGGAAGGAGCAGGAACTCCTCTGTTACTTCATACCTGAGAGGATAGGAATACCCCCGAACAAGCCTTGTTTTCCTCGGTCACACCGATTTCAACCCTTTTCTTGAGTCTTAGAGCTTGTAGTCTCAATTCTTCCTGAGAAAAATGTAATTTAATAATAGGCTTCCTGCTTGCCTGCTGTTCCAAGCATCTTTTAATCATCTTAAATTTACCTTATCTTCACTTTAATAATCTAGAATTTGGTACAAACGCCATTTTTTCCCTATCAGGCTTTGTTTGAGTTTTATTAACTTCAACTACTATTAGTTTTACCTTCCCAGAGGAACAGCATGGAATTCCGTCCCATCTTTCCTAGGTGGTAAGGAGTCTTTAGTGAAGAGCCTGGGATGTGGCACTAGTTGGCCTGAGTCTGGATACTGGCTGTGTTTTATGCTACTAAATTCTCTGTGCCTCAGTTTTCTTGTCTCTCCAGTGGGGATGATTGAGAGACCTAATACGTAAGTGCGTGTCAAGCGCTCAGAATAGTGCCTATCCCACGACAAATTATCTGCAATTGTTAGCTCCTATTACTGTTATCACTGCTGCTACCTTGATGTCTCTAGTGGCTTTCTCTGGACAATGCTTGATACATGTAGTCCTCTGCAGGTGTGATGACCAAAACTACAGCTAGGCCTCCAGGTGGGGCAACACCAGCCCACAGTGGCCATCTCATATCTATCTCGAAGACACTTAAGCCAAAACAGCATGGCAGCTTACATATCTTCTGGGGAACAATCCATAGGGATTCTTGGGCCTCTTCTTGGGCTGTCATTTTGACCTCAGGACTTCTTATGGAACAGTATGTAACTTACACTTACTCAGGTAAACTCCTCTGTTATTTTACGTACCTCTCCTATGGGCCTAGAGACTTATTCTAGTCTACAGAGAGTTGTTATCTACAAATCTGAAGTATTTACTGGGCACTTCCTCCCCTTTTTCATTTACAAAACTTTTACCCATTTCTAGACACCCCTGTTTCCACTTATTCATTTCCATCAGTTGGTCTCAATCCTGTTTCCTGTCGCAGCCTAATTCTTAATCATGATAAAAACTTTCATTCCCAATTCATAGTGACCTATTGTTTTAAAATCCCCTTTGGATTATTGTCAGACACTTTCTAAAAGCTCATATGATCACTCACAGTTTATTCCCACTATTGCTCCTATGTGTAGATGGCCCTTAAAGAACCCTGATGAACTGGATGTAAAACCCCTTATCAAAATTATGTTTGCCTTTCCCCAGTTGATAGTGTGCTTCTGCCTTAGTAAAACCATTTAAAATAGGGTCCTGTCCTATCAAATCTACCAGCAGTGATAGAGCCTTGGGTCTAGAGTATCTCTAGGAGCAGGTGTGTCCTTCTGAAAACAAAGTCACAATGGCAATCAGACATCCCCCTAACCAGCAGAGTGGTGTTCTAGAAACCAGAGGTCCTAAATAGCAAAGAGAAAAGGAGAGAAGGTGACAAAGTCCATGATGGGTCAAGAGGACGAGGCTGCACCAAGTGGTACACCACCAGCAGTGTCCTCTAAGCCTGGTCCACAGTCCTGGGCCTGGGCTTGGCTGACCCTAACTAGAGTCTGGCTCTATGGAGGACAAGGGAGGTGAGAAACATAGGACTGATTGAAAATAAAGCTGCTCATAGAACTCCTTAAAAAAACATGCAGTTATTCAAGTCTGCAGAGCATCGGATTTCTAGTTAATTCCATGACACTTGGGCCTTTGTCATGACCAATGATCCGACCAGAAGATTGAACCTTCTGCATATGGGAAAAGAGTGGAAAGCAGATGTCTCCCACAGAGAAGGGTAATTGCAGAGTTTGCCAGTAGTTTATTTTTAGATAGAAAGTTTTTACTGAAAGAATTCTACTTTTTGCAGCAAGTGAAAAGCACAAGGAGTACTAAAAGACAGGGTTACAATATGTGGCTTCTCTTGTAATGAAGAGCTTTGGGCTGGCACTTCCCAGGCATAGTAGGTAGATCTTGCTTTGCAAGAGGAGATGGGAGAGGGAGAATGCGCTTTCCCAGGTTTTTGGAAGAGTATTTTCCTTTGTTAAATAAGTTTGAAATGAGAGCCAAGTCCTGGGACTGTGGGTTTCTAGTTGAGCATGGAGGGAAGAGCTTTCTGGGGAGCAAATGCTGGTGCAAAAATAGAACTTGTGGGCAGAACCTCGTGGCTGGGAGCTGACTCCTAGGACACACAGACCCAGGGATGCACCCTGGTCCTGTCACTGAGTAATTCCAGAACCTCCTGTTTCCACCTCTGTGAAACAGGGTGACCCCGGGGCTACCTCATAGGTTTCTTTTAGAGAGTAAATGAGATGGTACCCATCAAAGCATCCAGAACAGATCTGGTGCACACTAAGGACCAGTGTGTACCTGCCATTAATGTTCATCTCATCAGTAATAGGACATGCTGCTGTTAGGGCTTCTGAATAGCAGATTCAGACAGGATTGGTTGTCACAATCACAGTCGTCACCTTGCTCTTTTTGGTAGGATTTAGACCACGTGCAGTCATAGAAGTGGGTACGTTCTTTCTGCCTTGGATTAGCTCCATTTCTGTCTCTGAATCTTCCTCTCTCTCTCTCTCTCTTTAGTTTCCTCTGTGTCCATCACACCACTTCTGCACATTTGCAATAGAGTATTTGGGGTGGTTTATCCATCTAGATGATCTTTGAGTTTATAAAACATTTGTAAACAACTAGCAGCTGAGGCCCTATGCCCTCCCTCTCAGACCCTCAGGTCACTGGAGTGAGGGTGGTAGAAGGCAAGAAAAGACAGAAGGGCCCATGAGGTCCTCTCAGGCTGACCCAGTGCATGCGGTTCACCTTCTGTGACCAGGTGGGACCCTGTGGGGGAGGTCTGTCCTTTGATGGCCCTGGTCCAGGGTCAGAATGGTCCCAGCATTCTCTGGAATTGGACACTTCTAATGGAACCTAAACTGGTAACAAAAAGGGACTTAGTTGAAATTAATGTAATCATACACTGTGGACAAACTAATAAGAAAGTTTGCTAAACATGAAGGCTCGCAAGCATTTGCCAACTGTCTGTCTAACCTGGGCCACATGAAGACAGGTCTGCCTAGGAGCCGAGAGGGGCCTCTGGAGGTCCCAGACCTGTTGTCCTGTCTGGGCTAGGGGACCCTCTGTGCACCTGCGATGCCACACCTGGAGGGCTTCGAAGACAAATGAAGGAGTACACAAAACCCTCAGGCCATTCCAGACCCCGGCCACAGCCAGCCTCCCTCACTCAGGGTGAGCACCGGTCTGTCATTGACTTCTACCCCTTCTGTTATTTCTGGTGTGGGTGCTACAGGAACCTCCAGAGGCCCCCTGCTGAGACTCAGTGTCCACCCCTGCTGGTGTGGGTCAAGCACCACCCGCCTTAAATCCCTACAGACCCCCTCCTCATTCCCCTCTCTTGCTACATTTTCTATCCTGGCTCCTTGACCGGACATTTCTGGCTCCTGTCCCACAGTGGGCCCTCCTGATGCTCTCACTGCTCCTCTGTGATGCAGGTGTCCACACTCAGCCTGCTGGTTCAGTGTGAGTGCCACCACTGCCCCCCTCAGAACCCAGGCTTTGCTTCAACATTGTAACTCACGTTAAGAGAGGTGAAACGGTGGAGGTGTGGCGTTACATCTGCCTTCAGGTGTGGGTAGCATCATGGAACTCCTTTTTAATTCCTTGCATTTGGTAAGAGGTAATAAATCCTCATGGGAAAGTGTATCATTTTAGGGGAGAGACAGGGACTGGCATTGAATCTTCCTTGGAACCCAAATGCATAGGGCTCTCCTGGGCTTCTTAGAATCCATTATCTTTGCATTTAACCAGCTTTAATGAGCATTTACGTGTCAGGCACTATGATAGGAGCTAGGTATGTCAAAATGAAGAACAGTCCCCAGGGATTGTTGTTAAGAGCAGACCAAGGAGAACTTTAGGCAGAAAGCATTATATTTGGCATATTACACAAGTCAAAGAGAGTAATTTTATGTTGGTAATGAGTACAATTAAAAATTGTCATCAGTATGTATGCACCAAATAATATTGCATCAAAATAAAGTAAAAGTTGTTCGTAAATGCAAGAATAATTTGGTATAAACATAGTGGCTAATGAGAAACAACAGTATACCTCTGCTTTTGATGGCTTATGTCAATGCAATATAAGAAAATCAA